TATACTTTTAAATTAGATTTTATTATTACTGTTTTATAGAGTAGGAAACTGAGGATAAAGGTATTTATCTAATAGTTTATAGGTAGAAAATAGAAGAGCTAGAATTCAAATTCAAATCTGTCTGACCCCAAGCTCCAAGTCTGTCTATAATTCTGTGATACCTCCCAACAATGTCTGTAGTCCTGGAGATAGACAATAGACAGATTATTTAATAAATGTGGAAACAAAGGAATTGAGGCATTAATACATTTAAATCACAGAGTTATTTGTTCCCTGCAGTCCAAGTTCTTTATATTGACCCACACTGTATTAAATCAAGGCAGGACTCAGGTCTGATTTTAATGGACCAGAAAGAAGAAAAAGACATTATCGGGTAGCAAAAAGGGAGATTTGAATACATCTATAATACTTTTTTTCCCTTTTAACATTAATCCTGGGACAGTCTCTCTGTAGAGACAATTTGATCTGAAAGATGCCTTTTTTTTTCTTTTTTACATTTGGTTGAAAATCTTTCCAGTCATCTGAAGTCAGGTATTTATTCATTTCTGACAGAAGTGGGACAAGAAATTGATTAGACATCTTCTCTCAATTTTTCCACAAATTGTTTCTTATTAATAAAGTTAATTTACCATAGACTTGGTGAGATTGTTAGACTACTGGAGCATGAGATACATGACAACATCTATAATTTAAGAAAATTTCTCTCCATCAATTCATGAAGGGAGAAGGAAAGAAAATAGGGGAGAAATTACTGATGCATTAGAGTTAGTCATTTTTCCTTTTCAGCAAAGTAAACTATTCATACATCCTTTGAAATATTACAGAGAATATGATTTAAAAGAAAATCCTGAAAATGCCCAAAATGGTAAAAAGAAGGAAATCAATTGGGTGGAATGTGCTTATATAATAAAAAATGGGTCAGGGTGGGGTGGGGGAGAAAAAATAGAACTCCAGCTTTTTCTTTGTCTATCAGCAACTATACAAATACACCTGTAAATGAAGTAAATCAGGAAGAAAAAGTACTAAGACCTCACTTGAGTTAAGGTGGGAGGGTTATGAATAATTTTTGTTCTTTCTCCTACCCACATTCAGCATGATGTAGGGGTTTTCCATTTGTTAGGGATACAGGAGTGAAACCGTGTCACTCCCCAGACACATTTTTCTTCCCTCCTCCCAGAGGCAACTCCTATTATGAATATAGCAGTGTATCCATTTAGTGTGTTCCTTAAACTACAAACTCATATCTGTTAAAGTACAGTATTTTACATTTTTGCATAAGTGGCATCTTATTTCATTCTTCAACATTTTTTCAAAGCTGTGTTTTCATATTTAGATTTTCAGAAATCTAAGAAAATGTTATAATCATCTCTTTGCTAATAAATTTGAAAATTAAGGGAAAATTGGCAAATTTGTAGAGAAATAAAAAATTATCACAGCAACTAAAGAAGAACTAGAAAGACTAGCAGGCCAATAAACCATTAAGGGGCTTGAACCAATAGTACACACAGCTACTCTCCCCTTTACCTACCTTCACATTTACCTCACCTCTCTACTTTTCCTGTACCAAGTATTTTTGGTGTGCTGGTGCAAGTCTAGTTTATTCATTGTAATTGCATATTGTATATATTTAATCAATATCAACATTTTCATACAATTGTTCTGTATTCCGTTACTGAGGGACATTTAAGTTGTTTCAAGTTTTCACCCTTTTATATGATGCTGCAGTAATCATCCTCATATATTTCCAGGTGAATATAAGCAAGTTTCTCTAGGTTTTCCCTTAGATGTAGGATTGCCAAACAATAGTAAATAACTCCAGTTTTACTATATATTGAGAAATTGTCCTCCAAAATAGTTGTGCCAATGTATACTCCCAAACCAGTATAGAGTTCCAGTTTTTCTATATTCTTGCCAAATGAGATATTACTTCAGACTCTGGAATTCTTATTAAAGTGATGGGTGAACTAAATTCTCATTGTCTTGACCCCATTTCCCTGTTTACTATGAGGTTGTCAAATTACGTCTTTAAGCTATTCAACTTTTCTCTTCTGTGATGTCTATCATATCCTTTTATCCAATTTCCTAAGAGTTTGTCTTTTCCCTGTTGCATAATTTCCCAATAGTTAGGCATTAACTCTTTGTTATACTTTAGCATGAAGTATGATATTTGTTGGAGATTAATCTAAGGGAGTTTATGTGGAATACTTTTTTGCATCTATTAAAATAATATTTGGTCTTTTATTGCTTTAGTGTAATTGATTGCAGTAATAGATTTTCTTATGTTGAGCCATCTTTGAAGTCTTGGAATAAATTTTAGTCTTTCTTCAGTTTTTCTAGTATTTTATTTAGTGACTTTGCACTAAAATCTCTTAAGTGACGTTGGGCTATATTTTTAGTTTTGGTCCCTGTGGTTTTCATATCAAAATCATACTGTTTTTCTTTTAAAAAGTAGGATAGCTTTTCTCTTTTTTTATTCTCTGAAACTGTTCATTAAAACTTGGCTGTAAAATTATTTGGTAGAGGAAAAGTAGAGAGGTGAGGTAAGTGTGAAGGTAGGTAAAGGGGAGAGTGGCTGTGTGTATCGGCCTGCCAGTCTTTCTAATTCTTCTTTAGTTGATGTGATAATTTAGTATTTCTCTACAAATTTGCCAATTTTCCCTTAACTTTCAAATTTATTAGCAAAGAGATGATCATAACATTTTCTTAGATTTCTGAAAATCTAAAACTATCTCTGTTCTGTGTCCTTTCTTATCCATAATTTGTGTGTGCCTTCTCTCAATCAGTCATGCTAAAATATGGTTTAATATTAATAAATCTTCCTAAACTTTCTTTTGGTTAATATTTGGTTTTCATATCTTTTTCCATTTATTACACAAATAAAAGCTTTAGCTTTTCTTTTGCTTTTTGGCAGCATTATCTAGCTTTTTAAAATATCCATTCTATTTTATTTGAGTGGTCAAGCTATGTGCATTTATTGTGATTCTTGATATATTTGGACTTTTTCCCATTCTACTTTGTTTTGAATTTATTGTGAAATTTTGTTACATGCATATTTTCCTTCCTTTCCTGCTTTTTAATGTTTCTCACTGTATATTCTATTAGTTGAGAAGTTATTCTTTCTATGAATTAAAATCTCTCTCCTGCTCCTAAATGATATAAAGATCTGACAATAATTCCCATAGCCCTCTCCCACCATCTTCCATATTATTAATATTTATTCCATCTTATTCTTAAATTTCTACAAATTAATCATTTTTACAGTCAATACTTTTGATCACCATTGTTTCTTATGTCCTATTTCATTCCAGTTCAGTTTCTTTTGACTGAAATACTCCACTGTGATGTACTGCAGCAAGGATCAATAAGTGCACATACTTGTGTTCTGGAAACATCTTTGTTTCTCCCTCACCCTTAATGATGATTTAGCTGGAAGAGAACTTTATATTGATAGATAATCATTCCTCAGTGCTTTAAGATACTGTCCACAATCTCTACCATCTTTTGTTGCTAATAAAAGTCCATTGCCATTATTTCCTTAGCAAATAATCTATCTTTTCACTCACATAGATTTTACATTTTTTCTTTGACTTATGCTAATTTACTACAAACTGTGAAAGTGTGGATTTGTCATTACTTCTTATTATTGAAGCTGCTTCAACAGAAGGATGCATGTCCCTTTTCAATTTTAGAAAAGTCTCAGCTATTATCATTTGAATATTGACTCCTTTTCATCATCCTCATTCTTTTTTCCTTTTAGAATCCCTAATACATGTATGTTGGACCTTTTCATTCTACCCTCCCTACTGTTAACTTCTCCTTTAATATTTTCCATCTCTTAATCTCTCTGTGCTACATTCCAGGCAGCTCCCTCAGATCTCACTAATTCAGCAGAGCTCTCTTCTGCTGTGTGTAGTCACTTTTCAATTTCTACATTCAATTTTTATTTCAAGAACTGTATTTTGGATTTCTATTACTCCTTTCTCCTGTCCCTAAATCAACATGTTCTCCTTTCACACACTTTGGTTTCAACCTAATGGCTTCTATCCCTTACTTATTTCTTACTCTTTTATAATAAGTAACTTATATTTCTTACTTATATTTAATAAGTAAGAAAAAACATATTTATTTTAAAGTTACCTACATGTCCTTTTATTAAGTAATTCTCCCATTAGTTATATCTTCTGACCAGCTGTGGTGGCTCACCTCCAGGTGTGTTTTGCAGCTTTTGATTATAAGCTTGTTCTGAGTGGGAATCATTTCCTTTGGAAACCGTAGGTGCCATTGGTTGTAGAAGCATCTTTACAGAACAATTTCATATTTGGTTCACAAGGGAGTTTGGATATCAAGTATGTGTTTTGGCTTTGGGTCTCTGAAATACACAGATAGTATGCATTTAGAACCCACACCTGTACTTTGGTGCTAGGATTTCTAGTTTCTGATTTGTCATGGATAATGCGTTTAGCTCAGTGGCCACAAACACCAAGCTTCCCAGCTCATTCTCTGGGAAAGCACACAGATACTTTTTAGAATTTGCTTCACAGATAGGATGGCATTCGGTGACTCTGGACTTCATGTTGACACCTCTGTTCCGGCTTCCCATTCAGATGAGCCCTGGGGCCAGGCTTAGCTTCTGACTCAGACATTAAATCCCCAGCCACCCAGTCACTGAGAGCTCTCTATCCAGTCCTGATCTCCCTTTGAGCCCCTTGGCTGCAGTTCTCACACCTTTAGTTGTGAGTTTTTCTGTATGTCTGGCACCTGAAGATTTTACTTTGGTTTCCAAGTGAATTATGTATTCTTTGTATAAATCTTTGCATCGTTATGTTTCATCCAGAATTCCTGTGTGTTTCCATTAGGGGTCATATGCCTTCCACATCTGTTTAGATCATAGTGACTGGACACACTTGTATTTTCTAATGAGGAAAAAAGTACAAAAAGTTTTAAGATATGTTTAAAGAAATGTTTTATGTTAAATAACCTTTTTTCTCCATGCTTCTTAGTGTTGAATTTGAAGAACCACATAATTATGAGGCGACAATTTCATATCTGAGGCACTCTGGCACCTCCATTAACCTGTGTGCCGCAAAGGAAATTGCTGATTGTAAGTCTGCTAAGTCAATTAATATTGTAACTCTGTGTGGAATGAAAATGTGTCAAAAATGGTATTTTCCCTCTAGCTAATTCTAAGCTTAAAAATTCACAGGCACGCTACTCTACCCTCTCATTTCTTTTTTTCTCCTTGTCTGGTCTCTTAAAAATAGAATTAAGTCCAGCCAGGCATCAGTGCTATCTCACAACTTGTACTGCTGGCTTCTCCCGACCACTTCTATTCTCTCCTTCACCGGTCTACTCACATGCTTTGCCTTTTGTAGATATGTAGGGGACAGGGGGTGGAAATCAAGATATGTTGATTCATTTTTCTTCCTTCTCCTCCTATAGAAACTTCATCTCTGTCTGTGGTCTTTCTTGAAGTTCCCTAGCAACTCCATGTGTGGTGAGGGAGATAACAGAATATGAGAATTAGGTCCCTGTGTCTAACCTGAATAGGAGCAGAGAATTCATTTAATGGATCTGACCACTGGTTCAGAGCTAAGTCTCCCTGCCTCTGGTATTGCTGACAAAGCTCAGACCTTTCTGTGAAAACAAAGGTAAGATGAAGCAGGAACTTAACAGCATTTCTACAAGTTTCTATGTCTTTTTTTCTGCCTATAGGATCACTAAATCTCTATAAAAGGCGTAAGTATTAATAAATTACCAAATAAACACTAGAATTTACTGAGCCTATACTATGAACCACAGTTCTGTATACATCCCTGGTGATAGACCGGTTTTATTAATCCGTTTTTAGAGACAGGAAACTGAAGATCAGAGAGACAGAGTTGTACAAGGTCACACAAGTAATATGTGGTAGAGCTATAATGTAAAACCAGCTCAGGCCTCTAAGATCCATGCTCTTTGCATAGCTTTGTGCTGCTTCTCATTCAAGGATGTTTTGCTTCCCTGGAAGGAGGGTTGGGGTTGGATCGTAAGCAGCCAAGGCATTTGCCTGGGAATATGTACTTAAGAAGTTTGTGGAGTAAGAGTTAGGATCCCTTGAAATTTCTCTTCCTTCCTTCAAGAAATAAGGGATTGAAGAACTACTGGAAAAACTCTCTCTCTCCTAGACTAGGGTATGAGATTCTCCCATATGGCTTGTAAAACACTAGGCATGAGAAGAGCAGTTCCTCCTCCATCACCCCCTAAGGCAATACTGCTCCATACTTGGGATGTCTGGCCCCTGCATTAGAACACAGCTTCTCAAATTCTAATATTCAAGTGAATTGCCTGGGAATCTTGTTAAAATGCAGATTTTGGTTCAGTAGCTCTGGGATTGGGCCCATGATTCTTCATTTCTCACAAGTTGTGTGTTGTGCTGATGCTATTGGTATCAGAGCACACATTGAATAGAAGCCTCTGCACCCCATTTAGACAAATTCCAACTGCATGCCTTTCTGCAAGCAAAGGACTCAAAGAGCCAGATGGATGCTCCAATTAGAGTCTGCACCTTCTCTCTCTGGACCACATGAGAATCCCAGAATGCTCTCCCCTCAAGCAGCCCTCCAAGATCCTCCCTGGGTCACTTCCATAGGTCCTTCCTCCTTGGTACAGACTAGATGGCAGGGAGAGCAATACATGGGGGGTGATGTCGATGGGGTGCAGGGTGGAGCTGGGGGTTGAAAATGGGAAGCTGCACCAGAGGCCTGCATTTGTTTTCTCCAGACTACAGATGTTCCAGGAGGGCCTGCCAAGGGGTTGTTTGAGGGACCAAAGAAGAAACCACTAATTCAGGCTCTCTCTAATCTTTCAATGAGGGATTCTTCAAGTACTTCATGGGCAGAGCTGCTAAGGAGGCAACTGTTTATAACTAAAAAGAGAAAGGGCTCAGAAAATAAGCTGCTGATGCAATTGAGAGGTAACAGAGCCTGGAATAATAGAAAGGGAAGGTTGGAGATGGGCAGGGGAGGCAAGGGATTCCCTGGCCAGAGAAGGCATACCCTCGTGGGCAATAGGAATAGACCTGCCGGGGCTGAAGAAGCTGAGGAACTATGCTGTGGGATCAAAAAGATTCTGTTATATTTCCCCATCCCTTTCCTTGTCCCTCTCTAAAGAGCTAAGATATACCCTACAGAAAAAAGAAAGGGAAGAAGTAGACTACTTTATACCAAGTTCATGTTTGTTTGACTCTTCCTGATGTTTTCCAGCCTATTTGCATCATTTACTGGATGAATGACATCTGAACTTCAGTTTCTTCACAAAATTGGCACAATCTCTCTAAAGAGCTAAGATATACCCTACAGAAAAAAGAAAGGGAAGAAGTAGACTACTTTATACCAAGTTCATGTTTGTTTGACTCTTCCTGATGTTTTCCAGCCTATTTGCATCATTTACTGGATGAATGACATCTGAACTTCAGTTTCTTCACAAAATTGGCACAATATTACTGTGTGGAACTTTTCTGATTATTTGATAAAATAATATATTTCAAGTCAAGTGGAATTCTGCTTCTGGAAAGATGGAGCAGATGTACTTTTCTTTATTCCCCCTGCTAAGTACAACTAAAATCCCTGAACATTACATATAAAACAAACATAAGAAAATTAGAAGACTCTGAGAAGGTAGAAAGAAGGTAGACCAGCTTGGGACCGTGGGACCCAAGGAAGGATAGGTGGTAGATTCTCTGGGTTTTATTCTTGCCTCATATAATCCATACTCACAGCTGAAGAAGCCAGCAATCTGGAAACACTAATGGGCAAGAACAGAAAGAGCTCCAACATAAACCTGCTCTTTATAGCTAAAGCATCAGGAAAGGAGCAGCCTAGAAAGATAGAAAGCCCTCTAAACAACTGTTCTACTCCTGCCAAACATCACACACATACACACACACAAAACAACTGCGGCCCCACCCCACCAGCCAGTGCTGAGTGGGGAGCCTAGATATCCACACTCAACAGGGTGCAGTGATGCACCCAACCCTTCTGCTGAGGTAGTGTCAGAGAAGGGCAAGTAGGGAACTGGGACTTACATCCCCGCCAGGGATAAGAAAACTCCACCTACAGTGAAAGTGTGAAGATCTTGTAGGAAGCTTGCCCTCGAATCCATGAGCAGTAACAAGGTGCTCTCTCCCTGCCCTATTGGAAAGGTGTCAGCAGAGGCCTAGTGGAAAGTCAGGACTTTCACAACCTCCCAGCAGAAAGGAGGCCAAATAGGGAACAATAACAAGGCACTCCTACCGCTCCCAGCCAGGGTGTTATTAACAGAAGCCAAATGGGGAGCCAGAGCTGTCCAAAGTGGGAAACTAAATTTCTACCCCTCACCCTAGCAAATAAAAAGGCGCGCGCGCGCGCGCACGCACACACACACACACACACACACACACACACACACACACACACACACACACACACACACACACACACACACACACACACACAAACCCCTACCCCCCTGCTGCCAGGAAAAGTCAACTAACACATAAGGTTTAAATAATAGCCAGAGTCTCATAACATAATACTCAAAATGTCCAGGTTTCAATAGAAAAATCACTCATCATACCAAGAACCAGGAAAGTCTCAACTTCAGTGAAAAGAGACGATCAATGGATTCCAACACTGAGATGACTGAAGTGCAAGAACTTCCTGACAAAGCCTTTAAAGCAACTATTACAAAAATGCTTCAATGAACAACTATGAACATGATTGAAACATGAAAGAAAATAGTTTTACTGAAGAAACAGAATGTTTCTGCAAAAAAATGGAAGATATAAGGAAAAACCAAATGGGAATTTTAGCAGTGCATAGTGCTAATCAGAAAAATAAGACATTCAGTGGATGGGCTCAACAGCAGAATGGAGGGAATAGAAGGATCAGTGAACTTGAAAAAAAAAAACCAAAACAGTAGAAATTACCCAGTCTGAGCAACAAGGAGAAAATAGACCAGAAAATAATGAACTCACTTCAGGGATCTGTGGGATCATAACAAAAGTCTTAAAATTAGAGTACTGGAAAGAAAGGCGAAAGAGGATATTACTGAAAATGTACTTGAAGAAATGGTGATTGAAAACTTCACAAATTGAACAAAGATATAAAACAACAGATTCAAGACATTGAATAAACCCCAAACAGGATAAAGCCAATCCACACAAAGAAACATCAAAGTTCTGAAAAATAAACAAAAAATAAAAATATTGAAGAGTGAAGTGATACATTACATATAGGTGAAAAACAATTTGAATGACAGTGGGTTTCTCATCAGAAACCATGATAGAAGGAAGTGGCACAACATTTTTCAAGTAGAAAAAGAACTGTCAACCCAGAATCCAGTAAAAATATCCTTTAAGAATGAAAGAGAAGTTAAAACATTCTCAGATGAAGGAAAAGTAAGAACATTTGTCCCAGCAGATCTATCCTACAATAGTAGCTGAATGTTTTCTAAACAGAAAGAAATGATCAAAGAAAGAACCTTGGAATGTCAGTTCAGGAGAAAAAAAAATGGAAAGAATACAAATATGAGTAAATGTCATACATTTTCCTTCTCTTCAGTTCCCTAAATTACTTTTGATAGTTTAAGCAAAAGATTCTTCACAACTCTGATATAGTTCTAAATGTAAGTGAAGGACATATTTAAGAGAATTATAAATGGGAGAATTAAGGAACATAAAAGGAAATAAGGTTTCAGTACTTCAAATGAACTGATAAAATGTCCACACTGGCAGACTGTGAGATATATATATATATATATCCATGAAAAAAGCTATATAGGGAGATATTGTCAAAAACACAATAGATAATTTTTTAAATTCTGAAAAAATGTCCAAGTAGCCCATGAGAAGGCAGGAAATACAAAACAGAACAAAAAACAGTACAAAGAGAAAAAAAATAAAGGCCAAACTTAGGGCTTAACTCATCATTAATTACTTTGCATTAAAAGTGAATTGCAGATTAACAATGGCGGCACGAGAGGAGAGACAGAGGCTTCCTCCTAAAACTGGATACAATTAGAAAATTTAATTCGTGCAACTAATCCTGAGAGAGCAACAGGAAAGAGGACGGCGTCAAACTGTAC